CTCCAATTATTTAAGGCCCCAAAATATAAAGCACTATTATTATTATTATTATTATTATTATTATTATTATTATTATTATTGTTATTATCGTTATTATTATTATTGTTGTTGTTGTTGGTAAAAATTGCACGGGGCGCCCTATTTGGTCGCCCCCATTTAACCTCTACCCAATTTTTTTTAAAAACTTTTAACTTGTACCCACTTTTTAAACAACTTCAGCTCCCTTTCTCCTCCTCCTTCTCCTCCTTCATTTTCTTTTTTCTTCTTCTACAACGATGACTTCAACATTGCTCTCTTTCTTCAGCTTTAGATAAGAAACTTCATGCACCTGTTCCCAATTTCCAAAGGCATCGATGTGCTTGCTGCTTTGTTGGTCATTCGGAAGAAATCAGCATTGATGAGTTAAATGAGAGGAATGCATCTAAAGCAGATGATTCAAATGAGAAAAGATGTCTCACTGACAATATCTTAAACATTAACTATTCTTGATCCAAGATAGCAATGGCAGGACATGGGACCTAAAGCAATTTCTTAGTGACTTTTGCCATTACAGAGAAGCTTTTGTTATGTAAGGCGATTAGTATATGTATATGTACAAAGGATTTGTTACCTATATTTGCTTAGCTTATCACTTTTTCTTCACGCAAGGAAGACCAGATTTCATGATTCTTCTCTTTCATAATCAAACAGAAGCTGATCATACTTGCAGTTGAAGTCTTTCCCCAACTTAGTGGCAGCTTCTTCCAACAACTGAACTACTCCAACTTTTGGCGAGCTGTGCAATTTATTTTTTTCAAAGGCTAGAGCTGAAGTTTTCCAGTTACAACACAAAAATTACAACACAAAAACTTCAACTCTAGAGCTGAAGTTTCCCAGTTACAACACAACAACTTCAGCTCTAGAGCTGAAGTTTCCCAGTTACAACACAAAAACTTCAGCTCTAAAGCTGAAGTTTCTCAGTTACAACACAAAAACTTCAGCTCTAGAGCTGAGCTTCAGGCCCGACTACTAGAATGTTGAAGTTTTGCGTGATTGTCTTTGCTACTTCAGCCCCGTGTGCTGAAGTTATGCGAAAAAGCGGGTACACTTGTAATTTTTTTTTTTTTGCAAAGCGGGCACAAGTTAAAATGTGACACAAGTTAAAATGTGCAAAGCGGGCACTACTACTACTACTGCTACTACTACTACTACTGCTACTACTACTACTACTGCTACTACTACTACTACTGCTACTACTACTACTACTACTACTACTGCTGCTACTACTACTACTACTACTGCTGCTACTACTACTACTACTGCTACTACTACTACTACTACTACTACTACTACTACTACTACTACTACTACTACTACTATTATTATTACCTTTTTGATAATTATCTTGGAAAAACTATAAGTTTTTTTTGTATTTGCAGGATAAAAATGTTGAATTTCAGCCGATCGTGTAGTTGAAATTATTATATATATCAAATTTTAATACTTCTTAAATTTTTGTAGATGTAGGATCGACTGAGTTAGTAGGAAAAAAATGTTCTCTAACTAAATTAAATAATATATTTATCTTCTCATCAATTCTATTTTTCTTTATTTTTGTGTAGTCCTTTTCATGTTTCTCACGATTTTACTTTCTAATTTCAACTCAGATTTTCTAAATTAACTATCAATTTTCGTCACATTTGATTGATCTATACATCAGAAAGCAAGTTATTTTGTGTCTCATCTTTTTCAACTAAGAAATCTCCGAGACAAGTGCCGCAAGGTTTAAAATTCAATGGATAATGGGCTCAACTCTTTACTATTTTCACTTAAAGGGAGAGTTCAATACCGATGACGTACGCCTAACTCGCACATCATGCCTTCGCTCTCACCACTAGATCAAAGTCATGCAGATTAATTTTTTTGTGTCCCACTATTATATGCATTTTATGAAAAAAGTTTCACGGTATTTTAATATATATTGATTTAGGCCACAAATTCTGTTTAGCCACTGATTGATGATCAACAATATTTACATACCACTGCCCTACCATGAACGTGTTGATCAACCAACTTCATTCATATTTTTGGTAACTGATTGAGAAATTCACTGCCTTTAACGTTCTTGTCATTGCTGTTTTATCTTAGTTGAGACTCTAGAAAATTTAATTAAGAATGTCAGGAATAGACAAGTGGCTATAGTAGGAGATTAGTAAAGCTTTGATTTAGGTCGCAAATTTTTTTAATAATCCATTTTATGATTCAATATTAATGTTTGTAGAAAAAATAAAAAAAGTACGAAAATTTTGTAAACAAGAAAGAAATATTGTCAACTCTTTAATAGTAAAAATATTTTAGAACTTTAAATCAAACTACTTAAATCTTCATATAGTAAATATAATTTTACAATAATATCAGCGGTAACATATTGCAAATACATGTCTAACATCTTATTTATTTAAATTATTCATTTTAAATATAAATAATAATATTACAATGTGAAGTTAAAAGTTTTGTATCATTTAAGAATGCTATACTATAAACAACAAGTATGAAAAAGATGGCAATACTAACTTTTTTTGCATATGTTTATGTATACATACTATTAAAAAAAGTATAAGGCCTCTTATTAAAAAAAATATAAAGCCTCTTTTTTCGTATGTTTGTGATATGGTACATACCTATCATATGCAACTAAGCTAGCATGTAATGCAAAAATGCATGCCCTATATGAGAAGAGGACTTCTCTTCTTTACATTATTATGAATGCAATTTAAACTATACATATGATGCATGAAGTGCAACCTTAAGTGAGAGGAGGAGGACTCATCCTTACAATAACAACTAAATCTAACTACTGCAACCTACAAACTCTCTAGACTGCCTATCTACGTCTTCTCAGCCGCAAAACGTAGATAAGGCTAGTATATCTACTAAAGTCACCCCAAGACTCACTACGGAGTCTCCTCCCCAGATCATGGGGAGGAATATACTCCTCTCCGTAGTGGTAGTAAAAAATATCCGGTTGGTACATGGTACCATTTGGATGAAGCAAAAATAACCCTCCGCTCCGCTGTATGAGCTCAGTCACTAGGGTGTAGTACCAGTCATAGTGAGTAATGTGTATCTCGTAGAATCTACCCTAGAATAATAATATCTCTCGCCCGAGGAGTGCCTAAAAAATATACATTTCAAAATTAATACATTGCACTAAAAAGTAATTAAGCATGCACACGTGTTAATGATTATAGCTTATCTGCTATACTTGAGCAAAGATGAGTAATCAAAACTAGAGTTCGAGCAAGAATTTAAGCAACGTCTAAGCTAAATAAGGAATTTGAGCTAAATAAGTAATTTGGGCTAACTAGCAACCCAGAGCTTGTTTGTATATCGAATCCACTAATTAACTCGCATCAGCTCCAAATCCGTGTTTGATCATCATTTGTAACACTTTCATCCATTTATTTGAAAAGAAAACAAAATATTTCAACTAATGCTCATGAATGCAGTTGCTTCAGCAATTATTTCACATTTGTGATGGTTAGAAAAGAAAAGCACGACTATATATCTGGATTGCTCAAAAATCTAAAGGCACTACAGATTTGATACTCGAACTTAAGCAATACTTACAAAACTTAACAAAGCCAAAACTTTAAGTATACTACTACATAAAAGAGTTGCATGATTACAGAAAGTATGTAACCACATTATTTACACATTACAGATTAAAGTAAATTATGTTATTATAGAAATTCTTTCAGCTATTTCAACCCAAAAAAACAGAGGGAATTAACTCAGAAGATTTTATCAACACTGTATATGGGTTTATGTCCGGGATTTTCTCTTGCAAAATCCCACGGGAATAAGCGGTACTGGAATATAAACTTATTTTTCCTAAAGACTTTCAACTAAGTGTGGTTAGTTTAACTTAACCAAGGCAGTTACTTGAACTATAGTTAGTTAGTCGTTATAAATCAGTTAGTATACACCAACGATGTTGATTTCATTTCTGTTGCTCCTTAGGGAGATTTGTTACACTGAATTCGTTAAAGTTAATACAGTCTAAATAACGGGGCCTAAATTCGTTACTCACACTTAAATAACTACTACTATAAATAGGCTTAAGTTGCAATGTGATTAAAATTTATTATATCACATGAGCAAGAAAACAAAATATTTCTTGAATTTCAACTTTTGATCTATTATTTTACTAATATTTAACCAATTCTTTCAAAATTACGCACATTTGAATATAATAATCAAAATTCTAATTGAGAATTGATTTCAAATACGATTAAATTATACTATGAATTTTTAGTCTCAGTTAAAGCTTAAATTCGAATCTGCTTAAATTAAATATAGAACATTAAATCAAACGCTAGTTAGACAAGAAAAATGTCAACAATAAAGTTTAAAAAAAATTGTACTATTGGTCACGCAAAAAACCCTTACTGGATAGGAAGCTCTCTCGGCGCACGTTAGGTGATAGCTAACCTGCGCCCCCACCGAAAATGGGAGGAAGAGGGAGACCAAATAAGAATCACAGCAAAACACCAGTAATTGAATGGAGAATCACAAAAATCATCACAAGGGAGCAAGGAAAGCAACATGCAAAAGCAAAAGACAAAGTACAAGAGGAAGATCTGGATCTGGATAGTGACAGTGAGCTGAATTGGCCAGATCTGAGCTGCAATCGAGCACAATCAGCTGTTCTAATGAGCCCAGTCACTCAGAGGATAACTAAAATGAATGTTTCGCCGATCACAATTGATGGAGAGAGTACGAGCAAAACAGTGCCTAATGTAACAGTAACTAAAAGCTTGGCAAAGGAACAGAGCAATGGAACAGTAATAGCTGGAATTGAAGATGAGAAGCACAAGCATGAGACGAAAATAATTCCAAATAGTAATATAGGAAGGTCCTGGGCAGGTCTACTTCAGGACAACTAATTTGCAGCAAAAGGAATAAATCTAGTATATGTACCACCGGTGATACAAGATGGAGAAGTAGTAGTACAAATAATGGAAGAAGACATAGCTGAGGAAAATCAGAAGTGGAATCCAGCAATTGTCCTGTATGTAGTTGGAAATACCCCAACTATTGGGACTATTGAACGATTCATAGTTGGACAGTGGAGTAAAATCAGAAAACCAAAGGTACTATTCCATAATGATGGCTACTTCATAATTCTGATGAACAGTTATGAAGATAGGGATGACGTGTTAATGAATGGACCGTATACTATGAACAGCAGACCAGCTATACTTCGACCATGGATTGAGGGATTTGATTTCAATGAGAAAGTGCTGAAAACCATTCCTCTATGGGTAAAATTTCCAAAGCTTCCATTGAACTACTGGAGCAACCAAGCTCTAAGCAAAATTGGGAGTGGTCTGGGTAAGCCCCTGTATGATGATGCATGCACCACAGTGGCTGACATGATTTCATATGCTAGGGTATTAATCGAAATAGACATCACTAGGGTATTACCAGGATCAATCAAACTATTTGATCCCAAAGGAAAGGTGATAGAGCAGGTGGTACAATACGATTGAAAGCCTCAATATTGTCAAACATGTTGTCAGATTGGTCACTCATGTCAAGACCAGCAGAAACAGAATCAGGAAGGTGGTCAACAAAGGCCTCGCGTACAGAATCAAAAGCAATAATGGAGTGTTGTGAGGACTCTTGATCCTAAGGTGGATAAAATTGATGCATATGGTAGATTTCTGAAACAAGTGAAAGAAGAATGTGAGGTGACATAAAGCAAAAAGACAGATGAAGAGCAATGGAAGTTGGTTAGGGAAAGTCTGCATCACAGAAGAGTATGAAAGGGAGAAGTGAGAATGAGATCAATATTGGTAATGCTTTCAAAGCTTTAGTTGATACAACACAAAAGATTGTGCAAATGTCTGAAGCTCAAGAGCATAGTAGAGGACAACCTAGTGAAAATGGCAGAGGTGGTAATCCCAATCTAAATACCATAGGATGATGAACATCATATCGTGGAATGTTAGGGGTCTGAATAAAGTCTATAAGCAAAAAGAACTCAAAACATTTACTAGAGAGAATAAGGTAGTATTAATGGTTGTGCTAGAAAATAGAGTCAAAGAGACAAATGCTAACTCAATAATAAATAAGGTATTTAGTACTAAGAAATGGATAGCAAACAATGATGCTACTCCAGGAGGTAGAATATGGGTAGTGCGGGATCAGACAAAGGTAGATTTTGAGGTATATCAAATTCATAAATAGTATATTGTAGGGCATGTGACAATAATCCAGAGAAACACCAAGTTCAACTTTGGAACTGTGTATGGAATGCATGCTATACAAGACAGGAAGACATTATGAAAAGATATGAGGGGTACCATAACTGGAATCAGTGGTCCTAGTGTAATAATGGGGGACTACAACACTATTTTAACTAGTGAGGATAGAGTGCAGGGAAATGGAGTGCAAGAGTTTGAGGTGAGAGATTTCAAAGAGTTCATATTGGATGTTGGACTAACTGAACTAAGAACTGTGAGTAGGAAGTATACTTGGACAAACAACCATGTCCATAGTAAATTAGACAGAATTCTTGTTAATGCTGAATGGATCCATAAGTGGCCTACAATGAAGGGGAGTATTTTGAAGTCTAGTTTCTCTGATCACTGTCCTTTGAGCATAACTTTTGATGATAATAACCAAGCTGGAAGTAGATCTTTCAAGTTTTTAAATTGTATGGCACAACATAAGGAATTTGAGGATACAGTGAAACAATACTGGATAAAAGGAAGCAAAGGAACTGCAATGTTTAAGGTTTGGAATAAGCTCAAAGTGCTAAAGATGGAGCTGAAATAGTTGAATAGCCATGAGTTCAACAACATTGAGCATAAAATTCAAGCAGCAAGATCAAAACTGGAAGGTATATAGATCAAATGCTAGGACCACAGAATGACAGTGAAATAATAGCTCAAGAAAAAGTTATAAAGATGGAATTGGCTAAATGGCTAGAGGTTGAGGAGAGTATAATGAAGCAGAAGTCAAGAATTAAATGGTTCAAGCTAGGGGATTCAAATACAACATTTTCCATGCTTGTGTAAAAAATAGGCAAACAACAAATCATATTGGAAGTTTGGTTTATAGTGCAGGGCAATTACTCCAGAGTCCTAATGAAGTAGAACTAGAGATCCTGAAATTTTATAAATTGCTACTTGACGATTCCAAAAGAAAGTCAAAATGGGGAATAGGATGCCTTAAAGGTAAATAAGAAAGATCCTAAATAAAAAAGAAAATACTTGCCTTTCTAATGAGATGTGATCTGTCTAGGGCTAGCTGAACTAAGCCTCATCAGAGGAGGAACGATTTGATGCTTTCATACTTCTTCTTCCTGCTACGCCCTTGCTTTCCCACCGCTCCGTGGGGGCCTTATACCTAAGCAACACAGTTGCCAGCAGTCAATACAGAAGTCACGCAACAAGGATATATGCTGAGTAGACAACAACAATTTCAGCTGATAAGAATTGTCACAAGAGATAAAGTCAAGCAAGCACTACAGGATATTGATGACAATAAAGCACTAGGATGTGATGGGTATAACTCTCTCTTCTTTAAGAAAACATGGCATATACTGGGTGAGGATGTTATTGAAGCAGTGTTGGAGTTCTTTGAAGGTGCTGAAATGTGTAAACCTATTGACTGTACCACCATTACTTTGATCCCTACAGTAAAGAACCCAAATAGCATAAAGGAATTTAGACCTATATCTTGATGCACAGTGCTATATAAGATAATATCAAAGATTCTAACAATAAGATCGCAGGAAGTCATGCTAGACCTTATTGACAACTGTCAAACAACCTTTGTTCCAGGAAGGTTGAGCACAGACAATATCATTATGAGTCATGAATTGGTTAAAGGTTATGGGAGGAACAATATCTCACCAAGGTGCATGCTAAAGATTGATATGCAGAAAGCCTACGATTCTGTGGAATGGGTACATCTTGAACATGTGATGAGAATGTTGGGACTTCCAGAAAAGTTTGTAAAGTGGATAATGGTATGTATTAGCACAGTCTCTTACTCTATCATAATTAATGGGAAGCAAATCTAGCCCTTTGAAGCAAGGAAAGGACTTAGACAGGGGGATCCCTTATCACCATTGTTATTTGTGATGGCCATGGAGTACCTATGCAGACTAATGAAGCAATTGAGGAACAACAAAGAATTCAGATTTCACCCAAGATGTGCTAAAGTCAATTTAGTACAATTGGAATTTGTTGATGACTTATTGCTTTTCTGTAAGGGACATACAGTCTGTCAAGACTCTGCACAAGCAATTTCAGACTTTCTTTGCAGCTTCTAGCCTAATTGCAAATCCAAACAAAATTAACATTTATTTTGGAGGAGTGGACAATAGCACACAGCAACATATTATGGAACTGTTAGAATACACTAAAGGAGATCTACCTTTTACATACCTTGGTGTTCCTTTGAGTACAAAGATGTGAACCCTTAATTGATAGAATGCTAAGCAGAATTCAGTGCTGGACAACAAAGTTTTTATCATATGCATGTAGAGCAACACTGATCAAGAGTGTGTTGGTGGCAATTCAGAATTTCTGGGCTCAAATCTTTATACTACCAAAGAAGATTATACAGTTTATAGAAACAATATGCAGGATGTTTCTATATTCGGGCAGTGCTGAGCCAAGTAAGAAGGCATTGATTGCTTGGGATAAAGTATGTGCTCCAAAGGCAGCAGAAGGGCTAAACTTCATCAATGTGGAATTATGGAATAAAGCAGCCATATGCAAGCTTCTCTGGAATATCTGCACGAAGAAAGAAAAATTATGGGTTCAATGGATACATGCTACTATATAAAAGGGAACACTATATGGAACACTGAGCCAAAGAGTGCATCTTTGGTTATCCAAAAGATCTTCAAGGCCAAAAGACAGTTTGAAGAGGCTGGTTATTCAGAGGAAGAAGTGAATCAAATGAAAAAGTTCTTTATAAAGCATATATACAAAGCATTGCAAGGGAGCTTTCAGAAGGTGTCATGGAGGAAGATAGTCTGCAACAACAATGGGCTTCCAAAATGTATATTCATCTTAAGGTTGGCATTACAAGATAGGCTAGCCACCAAAGAAAGGCTAGCAAGATGGGGATTAGTAGAAGACGCCATTTGTTCGCTGTGTCAGAGAAAGGATGAGACAATACCACACTTGTTCTTTGAATGTGAATTATCAGATGATGTATGGTAGAAGCTTCTACATTGGCAAGGAATTACGAGAAGGAAGAAAGAATGGCAGGAAGAAATACAGTGGGCAGAGAAGGTGGCCAAAGGGAAGAGTACAGGAGCTGCAATATACAAAATGGTATTAGCTGCAGCAGTCTATCATATATGGCAAGTAAGAAATAGTACCATTTTTCAGAAGAAGAGTAGTTCAAATGCTATAGTTAAATTGATTATCCAAGAGATACACATTAGAACTCAGCAGGTTGCAAAACTGGATAGCTATTTGAGTAATATGAACTGGTATCCAGACTGAGCTAAAGTGTAGAGGCAATAGGAGAACAAGGAGTTAGTTAGAAAATCTCCTTGCTAGGGCTTCATGTCCAGCAGGAGCACTGTTAGGCAGGTTGGTTTTTGTAAAGCTGTAAATATTTTACTTAGTAAATAAAGTCTTTAATTACCAAAAAAAACTGTACTATTTTAAAAGTCACTAATACATTGAATTCTTAAATAAATAATTTTAATTATAACTCAAGTTGTGCATAGTAGATTTCATGTCTAAAATAAAAAAAAAATTACATGATTAGTTGAGGCAATCGAGCTAAAGCTTTGACTGAGCTGAGTTTGACCAAGTCGAGCTAAGCTTTCACCGAAATGGAGCTGGCCCGAGCCCGAGCTCTTTTTAAAGGAGACGAGCCAAGTCGAGAACTGAGCTAGCCCAACACTCAGTCCAAGCTTACTTACCTCTGATTAAAAGTGGAATAATCTTAGGCAAGTTATGCATTTGACCAATCAGCCAAAAATAATTATATTCACTAGCCAGATATAAAAAAAATATGTATAAAACATATACTATATGTATGTTATATATTAATATATAAAAAATATATATTTTACCGGCTATTATTTTTAGGAACGGCTATAATATGCAATTTTCCCAATTATATCTTGTCATACCACCAAATTCAATAGTGTGCAAGTTCTTGAGAAACTATTATTGTTAAATACAAGATGGAGCTTGCACTCACTACTTATGCAGGGTGATGGACAGAAATGACCTTGTGAGGAGCTGGTCTTAGCCAAATGTCCCCAAAATTAACACTATTTAAAAAATGACTCCTTAATTTGCACTTAGTTATTGCTTTTTAGTATTTCTTTATATGGGTAGAGCTTATGTTATATTCATTTTATTTATCTGTTAAGTTGTTCATCAAAGTCTATTAAGTTGACATAATTTTACTCTTCAGAAATTTTTCTAACGGACTGGTATTATGCTATATTTACTCTACCTATATGTTAAGTCGTTCATCGAAGTCTATCTGATTGGCATAATTTTTTTGTGATGTTTTAATAAAGTTTTTTTTTGAATTTACAACTTTAATTTCGATAAAAACATCCCAAATCTGCTTCAAGTGATCTCAAATTTGAAACAAGAGGCTTTGTTGA